TTTTTTTTTTTTTTTTTAGTATTTTTTTAGTTATATTCAGCTGGAATGAACATTTCACATTTTGATTTGTTTGCTTGCAATTTATTTTAATTTTGATTTTGATGTCTGTGCAGACCAAAATGGAATTTATAAATCCGTTGCATAATTGTCGYTCTCACTCACTCACACACACGCACATTGCGCAATCTTATGCTAAACGCTGCAAATTGCTGGCTCCAGCCACGCCCACTTCTCACACAACAACTAATCGTAATATACACACATGTGGCATATATAATTGCTATGCGAACCGGATCGCTCTCTGTAAATATTTGCCTTGATTTCTGGTTCGCTTTTGCTCTACTACTCCTCCTCCCCCTCCTCCACCATCGCCTTCAGCGACGACTAACGGTTGTGTAACTTTCAATTCAATGTCAGTTAACAGCCTCGCCTGTTGCTGTTCGCCAAACAAACCCCACTTCCCCGTTCACTCTACAACGACCTCTACCTCTCCCAATCCTGCTCTTATACATTCAGCTGGCATAGCCCATTGGCTTCCAATCAAAATCAAAAGCAAATCAAAAACAGAAAAGAAAGAAGAAGAAAAATACCAAAAACATGACAAAGAGAAAAGAGCAGAAGCAGACAAAAGTCAGCGGCTTGAAGCGCTCTTCATGTACCGCTAAATGGCTGTCGGAATGTGCGTAAGTTGTTTATGCAAATGTACTAGTTGCTCTTGCTCTTGCTCTTGCTCTTCTTCTTGTTGTTGCCTTTGCTGTTGTTGCTGTTGTTGGTCTTTCGTTATGTATTGTAGTCTGGCTTTGAATTGGTGTTGCTGCTCGTCTGTGGTTTATGACCAGTTGCCTGGCTGCCTGGCTGCCCGGCTGACTGCCGCGCTGGCTTCTTTGTGCCACATAATTGCTTATAACGTGACTCTAATGAGCTCTGCTCCAACTGCCCCCCAAAGACACCGAGCACTTGTCTAACTGACATTGAACTCGTGGCGGGTCTAAAAATGGTTGGGCAACACAACTTGGCCAAAGGGTTACAGCACTGCAAGGGAATGTGTTGAAAGAAATGAAGAACCAGGAAGCTTAGAGAGGAGATAGGAAATAGTAAGAGGCAGAAAAGACAGCTTAAATGCATATATATTATTTATTTAATTATTATTATTATTTTCTGTGCTTTCTTAGCCCAGTGAGCTTTATTAATAAATATTTCCATTAAAATTTTCTTCAATGCTCTCCTGTGCTTAGTCCAATTGAAAAGCTACAGCATAAAACTATCTTACAAATTAGTTTACGACATAAACTTTTAACAGATTTTCTCGGTTTCAATGATATCTTAATGAGCTTTCACAATGATTACTCTGGGCTATGTGTATGCTTTAATATTTTTATGCTAAACTACTTTTGGCTCTTTTATTTCCTGAACCCCAATCAAAACTACTTGAATTGCCATAAACAACTTTATGCATGAGTCATTGCCGGTGCTGAAATGGAAGCTAATTAAAGCTTAGCTACAATTAACTTGTTGGCTCTTGCTTAAGTACAACAAATATTCATAAACAATAAATCAAATTCCAAATTGGAATTCTATACAGAAAGCTTTAAATCTTTTTTATGGCCTTTATTACCAGTTCGAGTAGTTTTGGCCCGCTTATTAAAGCCAAACGCTTTGTAATTTTTGTATGCTAACGTATAATTTCATGAATATTTGCCACTAACTCTTGCCACTTGTTGACTCGGATAGCAAAACAAAAAACTGTAAAGGCGGCATTTAAAAAGCCACAAAATAAAGAGAAAGAGAGGGATAAGGCAACAAACTGCGCTTAATTGCAATAATTCATTGCGAAGCGAATGCGAAACACAAATTAAAACGAAAACCATAAAAAGCTAATAAAGTACTCTACGCAACAAAGAGAGAACAAGACAGAGGCAGAGAGAGATAGTGAGAGGGAAGCAGAGAGAGATAGAAGAACAAAAAATTAAATAAAGAGTTAAACAAACGTAAACAGCTGTTGGAGCTGAGAAATTCTTGAGAAATGCGATAGTAAAAAAAAAAAAAACATAAAAAAATTAAAAAAAAAAAACAAAAGCACGTCATTAAGTGTCGAGGGTTCTCAAAGCAGAAACAGGAAAAAACGAAAAAGAAAAGGGCAAGAAAAAGGAAAAAAGAGAGAAAAGGCAAAGGAAGTGCGCGCAAAACACGCAACAAAAAGCCAAGTTTAAAGCTAAAATGAAGGCAGGGCAAGCGGCCGAAAGAGGCAGCTGCCGTTGCGGTATTTAACGCTTTTAACCGAGAGCCATGGGGTAGTTTGATTATGTTACTAAATATGTGGAGGAAGTTGTGATTAACATTATATAAATTCAGTGTAAAGGAATTATTCTTCAAGTAGAACTGAACTTGTTCTTTCATGAATAGAGTGAAGAGCCTCATAGTTATCATAAAAAACAACTTTGCCAATTTCTGCTTTGTATATACTCTCTCTATCTCTCTCTCTCTCTCTTCTATCTCATAAGACTCTCTTGGCTGCTCAGAGTTTTGGCCATTGCCAAACATTTTCAGGCTTAGCTCACTGCACTACATCAAGGTATTCTTTTTTTGTAGGGTATTCTAGCTTCGCTCTTCACATTCTATCTGAATAACTTTTTAAAACACTTCTTCTTTATTTGCTGCTGCCAGGTTTCTGCTGGCTGTGGGCAGGTGTGTCAAAAGTGGTTTACAGGAGGTAACAGCAACAAYAACAACAACAACTTGTTCTCATCATGCGAAAGTCAGAAGCAGCTCGATTTGCATTTCAGCATATTTCTTGGCTTCGGCATTTTTGCCAAACGAAATTGAAAATAAGTTTTCAATGGAGGAAGCTTTACTTTCACAGAGGCAGCGAGAGAGTGAAAGAGCGAGAAAGAGTGAAAGGAGGGAGACAGAAGGGCCAACACGCATATGGACAACAGCGGAACTTGCCTGGGCTAATTTGTAGGGCTTTGAAACGTGGCCAAAAAAAATTGTTAAGTGGCAAACGCTTTTTGAATATTTGGCCAACTTCCTTATGGGCAACGTGCAAAAATTTAATGAAATTAAATAAATTTTGATAGTTGTGGCGAGTAAACGTTGCTGTAAGTTGTTGTTGCTGTTGTTGTTGCAGTTGAATGTCGCATATTTAGTTACAAATGACGACAATTTCTGTTGGCCATATTAAATGGTAAATAATTTATGCAAATGTTGCAAGCAGCAGCAGCAGCAGCAGCACTGCTTGCAACACACAGACTGGTGGCACCCACAACCAAAAAGTTAACGGTACTTGTCAGTTAATGAAACCCGCCCGCTGGCTCAAGGAAACATTTTGGCTACGGCTCTTTGGTCTCCTCTTTGTCTGTTCGCCTTGACTTGGCCAAATGAACTTTCACTTTTTTTCTTCTTGTGTTGCATGTTGCAATATTACAGCTGGCTGGCTGGCTGGCTGCCTGCCTGCCTGCCTGGCTACCTGGCTACCTGGCTGGCTGGCTTACTCTTCTTCTGCTGCTGCTGCCTCTTCCTCTTCTTCTGGCAGCTCCTGATTGTGTGCCATCAATTATGTAAATTTTTGTTCATATTGCTTTTCTTGCTTTTGGCTAATAAGTTTACAACAAGCCAAACTAATTGACAGCTACTGTGTGTGACCACGCCCACAATTCGTCCATAGACAATAGATGTGGATTTGATAATAACAAACATAACATTCACATTGTTACATGTCACATTGTTACATGACAACAGGAAGTTTTTATCAGCAAATAGCTTTGCTTTGTTTCCCCATCTGATTCAACCAGGCAAGAGAAATATGTATTTAATAAAAATAATTTTGATGTCTTTTTTGCTGATAGCCAGTCAGATCTTTGTATCTTAATGCAACTCCTAAACTAAACAAATTGGCTAGCAAACAGTCTAAGAAACTCTTACATTTAGCTAGAAGCAAATCAAGCAATCTAGAAAAACAAATACCAACATTTTGTGACACTCTAATCTAGGAATAAGCATGCAAATAGTTTTAACAAATATTTGTTAGACTCAAAATCTCATTTAAGCATAATTCTAACAAATTCTAGTTAAATAAGTATAAGATTTAGCTTAAGTCTGAAAATTTATTTGATAAGCTATTTTATGACACTCTAAGGCTTATCTAAGGAATTTCTAGTACCTCAGCATGCTGTCCCTATTATATAATACGCAACATGAGACACACGTGTGTCTTGTCTCTGGTTTGATTTTCAAGTTCAATTTGATTTCCAGTTAAATTTCATTAGAATTCTTGTACTGGGCTTGTCTTATCTGCAATCAAATGTCTACAGAAATGGACAAGAGTTCAGATATAGACATAAATAACATACAAATAAAACAAACAATTTTCGATACTTATCGATTTCGCAAATAAAGACATAAAAAAAAAAACAACAGCCTAAAATAGGCTTAAAATATTCGCAGAAAACAGTAAAAAATCACATCTGGAAGAAGACGAGTTGCGCTTGAGCGATTAGCAAATATTTTTGAGGAAGATATGAACTTGAAATGAACCACATATATCAGGCAGAACAGAATGTATGTATAGAAAGAGAAGACAAGAGAATGACAGGGAGATAGAGAGGGTAAAGAAATATAACAATAACTGAAAGCCAGTTGAAAACGAGGCACATTCCAAGACAATTTGTCATGCTTGCAGCAGCAGCAGCAGCTAGAAGGTGCACAGAATGAGAGAGATAGAGAGAGAGAGAGATAGAAACAGAAAGGCAGGCAGTTCCAAGTTAAGCATATGCATTTTTACCTTACCAAAGGTGCAAACAAACAAACAAAGCAAATGATCAAATAATTAGAGAAGTCTAAGAAAAGGGACAGATTGAGAGACAGAGAGCGAGAGAAAAAGAGAGACACAGAGAAAGACAGACGCAGAGAGAGTCGTGGTTGGGGGAGTTGGGTTAACAATTTGTGACCACAAAAAGTTGTTTGACCTCTTGACTGACTGACTGAATGACGATTGAACGAATGCAGCACATAAAATTGTTAAGCGGCTGCATTTAAAAATAATTTCAGCTGCCAATAAAAGTGGATAACAACAACAGCAACAACAACAGCAACAACAGCTCGTCTAATAGGGCTCGAAACGAGTTTGTGCCGCACGGAGTGCTAGAAAATTGTGTCACGTTGTTGCTGCCACAGACGCAGTTGCAGCGCGCTATATAGATAGATCCCAAAGTCCCATATTCCCCCCACCAGCCCGACCGCCTCATGCCTCGGCATGCCAATGCATAATGTGCGTGTGCCCAGCTGGACTTGGACATTTGATTTATTATAGAGTGAGACAGACAGAGAGAGAGAGAGAGCGAGAAAGGGAGAGCTAACTGATTTCGTATGCGTGCTATGAGCCAAGAATTTCAAGAGAGCGCTGAAGAGGTAGAAGAAGCTTGGCTAAGCAGTTAAAACGGTTCACAGTTAATTATAGCAAATTGTCAAACGGAAACGATGAGTGCGACGTGTTGAAATGCCACTTCCTAGGCTTAAAGCTAATGTTAAGGCTATTGTCAAAGTAAGTGTCAAAGTGATAATTGCAAAGGCTGTGGGATTGGGGTCAGCAAGAACAGAACACTCGATATATACAATATAAAGGCAAACATAAGTAAATAGAAATATGCTAATGCTGCACAGATGCAGGATGCATAACAAAAGAGAGGGAGACAAACAGTGAGCGAGAGAGAGAGAGAGAGAGACAGGGATAGAGTTGAAGAGGGCGAAACTGCATTCACAATATGCATAAAACGGTAGCACTTAAGCATCACAATGGCTTTGTGGAGCATGTGGCACTCAAACAAAAAAATTGTATAAATTATGCAGCTTAAAGATGAAAGTGTTTCACGTATAGAAAAATCCATGAAAAATGGGCAGAAAGAAAAATAAAACCAAATTAGGTTAGAAGATATCAAATGTGAGATAGTGTAAATAATTCATTAGCAAGAATAGATTATAACAGTCAACAGAAATACATATGTGCCTAAAGAATTGGAGTCAAGATTGAAAATGGGTCTTAAGAGTTAACAGAAAACTGGAAAAAGAGATAAAAAATACAGGAAGGTTATGGTATATAAAAATAAAAACAAAAAACACGGTTAAGAGAACTAGTCAGAAATGTGTATTTAAAGACAAAAGGTAGTTCAATCAAATTTAGAGTAAATATTATAAGTTTATTTATCAAGTTCTTAGCTAGTTCCAGATTTTTCCTATAGAAAGATCTGGAACTATCTATGAACTAGTTCGTCTTACGTATAAGTTTCGTTTTATCATTTTATTTAGCTAATAAACGGAATAAACACATAAGACGAGCTTGTTCCATTTCGTAAACTGGTTCATGGAAAACAAATCTTGAATATTATATTATTAAATTTGTGGGGAATAACTGAATCTTCAATCGAATTTTATCACACACCACTAGCTTCATTCCTCTTCGAGGAAAAACTGATGCGATTTGTTAAAAACGATTCAATTTTAAAGAAAAAATCAGGCCACAGAGAAATGTTTTCGCACAGGTAGCCAAATCGTTAACCGCAATTTAATTTTGCACATCTGAACCGCAGATTTTGTATACCTTTGTATAAGTTTGTCTACCTTTACAATATCTGCATTAATGATACGCAAAATCAATTTGTGGTTTAATTTCGTATATATAATATCTTTTTATGACCCACACGATGGCTCCTTAAATGCAACATTCAAATTTTTTAATGCCCACTGCAAGTGTATAAATGCACTCAAAATATATTTACGAGCATTTCAGGAAAGCAAGAAAGAAAAAAATATGTGACGAAATATTTTTACCTGACAATTTTGATGGGCAAAGTCATATAAGAATAATAAAAGACACATCGTCTACCTGTTAAATATTTGGTCATTTTGATAGATCTGCCAGCTTGTTTTCTATGTGTTTCTAAATTTGTAAATCTATATCTATATATATAAACTTGATAGAAATAGATATATGTATGTATTTATAACAGCTCGTTATTTAGCCCAGTTCACAGGTCTCCGTCTTCGATCTTCCTGCTCTCGCTTGCAACTCATCTGCTCTTGGACATTTTGTGGTTATTTTTAATGCAGGCGACATGAATTCTTACAAAATATCACACACACACAACAACAAATTAGTGGAGCAAATGTGTGTGTGTGTGTGTTGTTGTTGACGGTGTGTGAGTGCGTGACTAATATTTTGATTGCATTGGGCCAAAAAACTTGGCCACGATGCAAGCGATTGTGCAATCAAAAAAGGCAACAACAATAAATGACAACAACAACAGCAATAACAACAATCTTAAGGCCCGCTAATCAACGTAATAATAAAGGCAAAGCAAAAATCGGTTTCACATTTATTTCACTTATTTGTTGTTTGTGTTTTGTGTTGTTTTGTTTTTGGCAGTGTTTGACAAAACTTTTGGGTAAATGACCTACATTTCCCCCATAAAACCCCCCTCCCCACCCTTATAATTTTCAATTTTTATGTGTGACAGTTTTCACATTTCTGAATTGGAATATTTGTAGAATGTTTTCCCCCTGTTATTTTTAGCAAATAGCTATTTTGTTTTGTTCTCTTTTTAGATAGTTTTCTATGACGAAATCGCAGCGCATTAATCATACGCAGTGTGAACACGGAAGAGAAGAGGAGGAGGAGATACGTAAAAAGTGTGGTAATTTATAGGAATATCAGAAACTGTTGGCTCAACACTCGACTGCAGCTGCAACTAAAAGCCAAATTTCGGAATTTCTTTATAATTTGCTGACCTAATGAGCCAGCTAATGCCTCGGCCAGCATCATTTTCTATATCATTTATAAATCTAATGCGTCTCTTTTCTCTGCTGCTTCTTCTTCTTCTTCTTCTTCTTCTTCTTTGAGCGTGTTTTCACTTTAAGCCATGATAAATTGCACATGTTTATTGTTGATTGTTGATTGCGGGTTGTTGCCAGCTTGAATGTTGGTCTTTCCATTTCGATTGCATCTTCAGTGAACAGAAGACAAGAAGTGAAAAGCTTGGAAATTTGTATATATATACCTTGTAGGATCATTGATGATGCGGGTATACTGATTTTTAGAAAATCTA